CTACATATATTGTTCTTTTAAAATTATAGTTTGTGGGCAGAGATTTGACTCTCATTCAATAACAGAATATGCACAGAATTGAACAATGGAAGTATAAAGTGTTGTTACGTGAATTACAGTAGCACTCATTCTCATTTACACCTCACTACCGGAGGCCAACAATTATGAAATTATAACCAAAATAAGAAAATTTTTCAGGGGATTATTGTTTTTTAATAAGGATTAACATTTTAGATTGTTTCGTCAATAACCACGAAATGTGAACATTTTGTACCTTTAGAAGTACCTTTAAAATTTTAGTAATCGCCAAGAAATTTTTTATTACAAAAAATGTATTTTTTCACATATCGGAAAAGCAGGTAGCGATTGCGCTTTGCCTTCAACACGTGTGTGTCTTTTTCGTTGGCAATTGTTTCATAATTGTTGTTGTTTTTTTTTTGATAGAACATTTTTGTATGACACACTATTCAACATTCTCTTTTATTGGTCATTACATGTTATGACGATGGGTTTGACGAGACATCGAGCATTTGGTTGGATGTCACGTACTGTTATGCGTTTGATCAAACAGGGCACAACATGACGAGCGTTTTCTCTCCATGGCATAAATAGAGAAAAGTGTCACATTTGCAGCCCTTTAGTAGATACTACCAATTATTATTTACTGATTTTCACCGCACGAATTATTCAATGGGCGAACCTCTTAGTTAAATGTGTGTTGACTTTAATTCTGTGTATTGTAATGTAGATTTTGGTATGAGTTTAGAAGTTATTAAATCTAGAATAATTTTATTTTTAAACAATTAACATACATGTTTTATTATTTGACAAACTAGCTGATGAATTAGATTCTGTAGCTGGTTTTCAATTTCCTACTGAATTCCCATTATGATTCAGTGATATTAACTGAAACCGGTTGTGGAACAGTGTTCTCCACAGAAACTATTGCTTTGCGACTAGACATTCCCTTAGTTGGTGCCTTTTTCGCAGCCCTTTTGCGTTTCTGGCCAGAAACTAACGGTGACGACACAAACTCATCTAATTCTTGGTATTTCTCAAACAAGGTAGAGAAATTCTCAAATCGGAGTGATAGTGAGGAAAATTCTTTTTTCATCGATGTCAATTCCGACTGCAAATCCTTTACAAAATTATAAAAGTCTGCAGAGTGTTTCCTACATTGCACACAACACCAACGAACACCAACATTTTTTCTAATTATGTCTACGACTTTTACATTAATCCTAGCACATTTTGCATGTCATTGATTAAGACAAAACCAAAAGGTAACACACAATTCATCCTTTGCAACAATATTACACAATTCAAAAGGGCACGACATTTTATTTATTTTAATTATAATTATTTCTTTTCTAATCCACAAGTTACAACTATATTTTTCAAGATTAGATCTGTAGCTGGAAATTTTTTATTTATTTATTTTAATTTTTTTTTTTAATTTTTTTTATTATTTTTTTTTTATGTTGGCAACTCTTATGAGATGACAAACAAAACGAGACGATATGTTACAAAAACTAATTATCTAATGTAACAAAAGAAAGAGGATAAAAGGAGAATGTAAAACTACACAATTTGAAAATTGATATTACTTTAAACACACAAAACAAGATTTTAAAACACTACACCAATTATCACTTTGAGTTACAAAATTACTATTGAACACTTTTAAACACTTTTTACCAGATTAATTAATTTAATAAAACATATAACTAGTAATTGTTTTTTAAAAGCACGGAGCACCACAATTTTTTGACACTAATCACAACAGGGTTGAGTCTTTCGTCTGAAGCCATGTATCTCGGTACCATCCTCGACCAGCGTCTGAACTGGAAGAGGTACCTCGACAAAAATAGAAGTGTACTTAGGAGCACACCACAGTCAGCTTGGACACCCTACTCAACTTGAAACCCTTAAGTCTATTTGTAGAGGAACAAGCAGCGAGATGTACATTGAGGCTTAAGGATCATGGTCAATGGGGTAGTCAATTATTCAGACATTCGGTCATTATGAAGTACGTGGAGAACATAGGGGGTCGGGTTTTGACCAGTGACTATATATCACCTAGGCTAGGCTTCGAAACACTTTATAGCTGTATATACCAATGGCTCTAAAATTGGAAAGTAGAACGGATGCATGTAGTTTCTGCGAAAGCCTGAACATTCGGATCTCAATAATGATTGTAGCGTATTCCAGGCAGAAATCTTTGCTGTCAGAAACGCCGTAGAATTGCTGATGAATCGAACAACTTAAGGGACCGTTGATTATATAAAAGCGGCCCTAAAGCGCTAAATTTATCCACCAACAAATCTAGGTAGTACTGGAGCGAGGATTGCTCTGGAAAAAGTCAAGTTTTGTTTTGAGCTTTCCTGGGTTCTATTGCAGGCTTTGTCAAGACTAGGAAGAGATAGAAACTGTCACTGTCTAACTCTTTTTAGAGCCAGACAGAGGCTCACGGGTAAGCAAACTCTGCATTATCTGTCTTCACTCTCCAATACTGAGCCATTAACAATTCTTCAGCTAGCCAGAAGACTAAAATGGCTAAAGACAACACTTTAAACTCTTTGTGTATACTTCTCCTCTAACATAATCATTATCTCTCTTCATTTCATTTCCCTTCACTCTAATCAGGATGATCACAATGGACCAACAACTCTCCGAGTAGAGCGGTTGTTTAAACAACTGCGCATTCCGTAACCTAACCTAGTTTATTTTGCATTCGTTCCACATTTGTTTGACAGACCAAAATATCCGCACTAAGCCTGCGATAAGTATCAAGAAACTCCGACCGCACGTCACCCATCACTCTCAGCTTCATATTCCACCATACATTGGTCGAACCGCTCATTAAGTTGTTGTCTTAGTAATACCGCAAAATCATCCACAAATTGTTTCATTAGCACATCAAGAGCCCCTCGTTGATACTTGTAGCCTTTCGTAAAAAAATCCTAAAAAACAAATCTATTAGATACTTTGGAATTTGCAAGCATAGATTCAGTACTGCTTAGTACTACATGCTGATTTGATATACGCACGTATAATTGAAATTCTTGTCAGCCTTCACCAGAGCAATCTCAATATTAATGAATTTTAGATGAAAATAATTGGGACATGCAGTACACCCCACACTATATACACCTCGGGCAATAGTTTTTCGGCAAATAGGGAAATTGTAAACTTTCTCAGGTGCCATAACAGCGCTCTACCAAATTAATAACGGCAAAAACAATGCAATCACTTAAGCAAAGGCAGCGACGAAAAAACAAAGAAATGCCTGCAAACAAAGGCATCCAACAACTGAACTCAACAGCACTCGCTAAATTAGTAAAGTGACTTTACACATCGTTAGCTAGAATGCTAACAGGTGTAACATAATTGCGCAGGAGAAGCAAAAAACTTTTTTTAAATGTAAACTACTATAAACATGTCTAATGAAATTTTTTTGAAATTGAATCGATGCATTCTGGTATAATAATCTATCTGATGTAGAGAGCTATCGAGACAAAAAAGATCTATCAAAAAAATAAATAAATAAAATAAATGAATAAACTATCATTTTTGGGGAACTTCAACTTGTATAGTTTAAATATGAGCCCGTTGTGCCAGACAGAATCAAATGTTGTTTAAATGTGTGTGTTCGTTTTAAATACATTGATAAGCAGATTATGTAAGCATAAATTTTTTATTTTATCCATTCCTGGAGATTTGCAATTTTTAATTTTCTGTAGAAGTTCACGTACGTTTTATTAAAAATCGGCTCAGGTGTTTCGGAACTATTTTGATAACCTTCTAACGCAATTTTATTTATTTCTTCGCAAGTTGTAGCATCACTCAATTCCCTCTGCCAAAACCATGCACTAATCCACAGAGGTATAATAAGCTATATCATTCTTCACTATGGGTGGAATTATTTTTTTTCCTTCAATATTTTTGAAATAATATAGTTATGAAGCTTTATCTGAAGAAGATAACAATGAATTCTAAGACTTGCTTCTGTGAATCAACAATTAATTTGTAATTTATTTAGCCGATTTTATTGATAGCGATCATTTACATCTCGGAATGTTGGAATTTCTGGAATATATATTTATATTTTATTAGTGAATGGAGTTAGGAGGATGGAGTCATTAGTATAGACTGGTGGTAAATTATTGTTTAAGTATCTTCGATACCGCTTTCAACATGCTTTCTTATAGTTCTAGAAAAAGTGTCATTTTTTGCCGGAATTGAGAATAAGTGGCATGTGATCGGATCCGAGATCAATTATTGTTTTTACTCGACTTACATTTGTACAGTTAGTGATATAAGTTCGATGGTTGCCTAGTGGTGTCGGCGGGAATATATGAACAATCTTGAGAAAAAATAATTTGGAAATTGTTCTGTTGGAATTTTTATAAAACATATTTTGCCAACAATTGTTTCTGGAGCAGCACAAATTAAATAAGCCTTCAATAAATAAGCTTCTATTTGATGTGTTAACTTTTGGATGTCAGAAGCAAATTTTAATTTCCTTATTGTTAGGTCTCTGGTCACTCCAGTAATATATTTAAGAAGCCGAATATAATGAGAATATATTAAAAAAAGCCGTTTCGGTTGAAATTGAGAAACCCAATGTTTTCAATTAATAAAGACGTTTTTATTATGCGTAATGATTGATTATATAGCATTTTCAGATTAAATAAAACCTTTTGCAATTGAAATGACACTTTTTGCAGCGGAAATAAAACCCTTTGCAGTGGAAATGAAACCTTTGGCAGTGGAAATGAAACATTTTGCAAACGAAATGAAACCTTTTGCAACCGAATTTAAACTTTTTGCAAATCAAATGAAACTTTTAGATTTATAGAAAGAAACATAACAAAACATTTTTATTTTTAGTAGGTTTGAAGTTAAATCAACTAAGTTAATTTAATATATAGTTAAAGAGGAATTTTTATTGATTATTAATATCTATGTTTTTATAATATTATTTCTTAAATTTTCAGTTTCCACAAAAAGGCAAGTGTAGATGCAGAAACATATTTTCTTCAACAAACCCGAATTAGATACCTTTTTATAACCTCCTCGCTGGAAAGGAGGGTATATTAAATTTGTCATTCCGTTTGTAACACCTCTAATTATTCGTCGTAGACCCCATAAAGTATATACAATCATGACCAAAGTTGGTTTTATGATGTTCACCTGTCAGTCTATTGAAATCACGATATTGATATGAAATTTGATATAGAGCTTTGAAATTTGGCACAACATTGTGTTGTGTCTAGGATGTTTGGTAGTGAAAATGATTGTGTACGCGATAATTTCGCATTTCATACCTGCCCATACCTATAAAGACCAACATTTGTTTCAATTTCTCTTTTTAGCGTTAAGCATTTGGACCTTAATAATATGAAAATATTTTATATCAAATCAGTAAAGAACCATTTGTTATTACAATATAGAAAGTTTAAGAAATAATTTAAAAAATAATATTACGGTTGTCGTTTCTATAGTCGTCGGCACTTTATGTGCAAGTCGCCCTCACCGTCGCTTCGACTTAAAAATGGTATTACGGCAAGGCATGGAAGCGACATCGACAGTTTAAAATAAAAGTTGGTAACAATTAAAAAAGTTTTGGCAACACTCTCTTGTTATTGACAAAATAAGATAAAAACATTGAATTCTAATTTCGTCTCTTTCAGATAAATAAAAAATATAGTGAAAAAATGGATATTATAAATGCGTTACATATCTTAAGTTCAAGTGAGGATGAAGTGGAGAATGTATTAGTAGTGCAGCGGCGAGTGCTAGGGCAGCAAACAAACATATTTGCATTGCCTGACTCTTGATTGTGTTGTTCCAAAAGTTTATACCGCTCTTTCAAGAGTTCAATAGTTTCTTCTTTCATTGATGACTTTTTATCATTGTTTTTTTCTGGACGATCGAGAAGTTTGGATAGCAGTTACATCAGTCTCATCATCAGCATTGTCCACTGGCTCATTTTCATGATCTATAACGTCTGTTACAATTATGTTTTCCGTATTTTTTACTCCAAGTGCACGACCTGGTGGATTCAGTATCTTTTGAAACGGCATTACATTCGCGAAGGACTCCTCCCAAAGCGACAAAGTCATTTGCTAAAAAAAATTGATTATATTTTGAATTCTAATTTCGTTTCATCGGAAAAATAAAAAAATATTGTCAAAAAAATGAAGTGGAGAATGTATTAGTAGTGCAGCGACGATTGCTAAGGCAGCAAACAAACATATTTGCATTGCCTGAGTCTTGATTGTGTTGTTCCAAAAGTTTATGCTGCAGTCAGTCTCGTCATCAGCATTGTCCACTTGCTCATTTTCATGAACTATAACGTCTGTTACACTTATGTTTCCCTGGTGAATTCAGTTACTTTTGCAACTGCATTACGTTCGCGACAGACTCCTCCCAAGGCGACAAAGTTTGTGCTGCTGGCTTCACACTTATTACGCATAATTTTTTTAGTTTTAAACTTTAAATCTTTCCAAACCTAGAATAATTTTAGAAAACTAAATAATAAAAAACATACAAAAATAATTTTAATGTTAACATACTTTTTGCCAGCCATCGCAGTCTCTAATCGGAGGCCCGTTTACATTTAATTTTGTAGCAATCTGATTTAAAATTAGCTGGAACATGACCTTTGTTAAATCCTTTTGCCAAACATGGATTTTTTTTCAATTCGGAAACCAAAATTTCAAATTGTTTTGCTGTTGTTATTTTCGTGGTCAAATATAAAATACAAAATGCTTACAATATCAACGTCGACTAAAAAGTACTATGTCGTCACAATTTTTTACGGCGACAGATATTCTAAAAAATCGACTTCACGTCGACTGTTGTATCGACAGTAAAAATCGGCCCTATTATGGTTGTCGTCGGCGTCGCAAAATGAAGTCGAGGCGACAATAATGATATTAGGGCTGTCGTTTTTTGTCGATAGCGACAAATGATTGCTATTATAATTGTCGATACAACAGTCGACGTGAAGTCGATTTTTAAGAAAAACTGTCGCCGTAAAAAATTGTGACGATGTTGTATTTTTTAGTCGACGTTGATATTGTAACTTTTTTGTATATGATATATACCCATGAAAATAACAACAGCAAAACAATTTGAAATGTTGGTTTCCGAATTGAAAAAACCATGTTTGGCAAAAGGGTTTACCAAAGGTCATTTTCCAGCTAATTTTAAATCAGATTGCAATCCATTGCTACAAAATTAAATGTAAACGGGTCATCGTTTAGACAATGGCAAAAATTATGTTAAAATTTAAATTATTTTTATATGTTTTTATTAGTTAGTGTTCTAAAGTTCTTCTAGGTTTGGAAAGATTTAAAATTTAAAACTAAAAAACAATTGTGCACTATAAGGGTGAAGCCAGCAGCACTGGAGGTGTTATTTTTAAGCAAATGACTTCGTCGCTTTGGGAGGAGTCCTTCGCGAATGTAATGCAGTTTCAAAAGTTACTGAATCCACCAGGTGGTGCACTTGAAGTAAAAAATACGGAAAACATAATCGGCCCTATTATGGTTGTCGTCGGCGTCGCAAAATGAAGTCGAGGCTACAATAATGATATTAGGGTTGTTGTTTTTTGTCGATAGCGACAAAAGATTGCTATTATAATTGTCGATACAACTGTCGACGTGAAGTCGATTTTTAAGAAAATCTGTCGCCGTAAAAAATTGTGGCGACATTGTATTTTTTAGTCGACATTGATAGTGTAACTTTTTTTAAATAACAACAGCAAAACAATTTGAAATGTTGCTTTCCGAATTGGAAAAAAACCCCATGTTTGGTAAGGGGTTTACCAAAGGTAATTTTCCAGCTAATTTGAAATCAGATTGGAATCCATTGCCACAAGATTAAATTTAAACGGTTCATCGATTAGAGACTGGCAAAAAGTATATTGAAATTAAAATTATTTTTGTATATTTTTATTAGTTAGTCTTCTAAAATTCTTCTAGGTTTGGAAAATTTTTAAATTTAAAACTAAAAAACAATTGTGCACAATAAGGGTGAAGCTAGCAGCACTGGAGGTGGTATTTTTAAGCAAATTACTTTGTCGTTTTGGGAGTAGTCCTTCGCGAATGTAATGCAGTTTCAAAAGTTACAGAATCAACCAGTTCGTGCACTTGGAGTAAAAAATACGGAAAACATAACTGTAACAGACGTTATAGATCATGAAAATGAGCCATTGGACAATCCTGATGACGAGACTGATGTAACTACTTTGCTGCCTTAGCACTCGCCGCTGCACTACTAATACATTCTCCACTTCATCCTCCCTTGAACTTGAGATATGTAACGTATTTATAAAATCCATTTTTTCACTATATTTTTTATTTTTCCGAAAGAGACGAAATTATAATTCAAAATACAAACAAATTTTTATCTTATTTTGTCAATAACAAGGGAATGTTGCCAACGTTTTTTTAATTGTTGCCAACTTTTATGTTAAACTGTCGATGTCGCAGACGTTATAGATCATGAAAATGAGCCAGTGGACAATGCTGATGACGAGACTGAAGTAACCTACTATCCAAGCATCTCGATCGCCCAGAAAAAACAATACGGAAAGAAGAAACTATTGAACTCTTGAAAGAGCAGTATAAACATTTGAACTGAACCGCTGAACTACTAATACATTCTCCACTTCATCCTCACTTGAACTTAAGATATGTAACGCATTTATAATATCCATTTTTTCACTATATTTATTTTTCCGAAAGAAACGAAATAAGAATTCAAAATACAAACACATTTTTATCTTATTTTGTCAATAACAAGTGAGTGTTGCCGACGCTTTTTTAATTGTTGTTGTCGATGTCGCTTGCATGCCTTACCGTAATACTATTTTTGAATCGAAGCGACTGTGAGGGCGACTTGCACATAAAGTCGACGACGTCTATAGAAACGACAACCGTAATTGGGCCGAATGGCAACCATTTGTCGCTATCGACAAAAAACGACAACCCTAATATCATTATTGTCGCCTCGACTTCATTTCGCGACGCCGACGATAACCGTAATAGGGCCGATTAAATCAGCTCTATCCTTAAAATCATTTCCTCCATTGAAAATAATTGATTTGGCCGATTTTGTGGAATGATCCAAGCGTTAGAAGGCAATACATTTTCCTGTTATAGGGTGTTAAGAAATGAGTTATAGTAGTTGGAGAACCTATTATACTGCAAATTAGGCTTTGGTTGATCTTTTTGTCTAATCTCGAGAAATGATTTTCTCGCAAGACATTCTGGTGATGTTGATTTACGACTTCCATTACAGTTAGCACATTTTACCTCGGTACTATTACATTCGACAGTATTGTGATTTCCACCGCAATTAACACAAAAAGTCACGTTAGTTAGGTGGATACCTGCTGGTTCATTGTGTTCATTCCAATGTAGAGAGAAAAGAAAAGGATTCTCTACTTCCTTTAAAGAAGGAAAAGTATTAAAATTAGTATTGAGAAGAAAAATATCCAAGAAGAGATTGTCGTGTCGTCTTCTGGCTAACTTTGTTATTAAAATAAATAAATAATGTTTAATAATAATCATATTTATTTAACTAGAGATGGAACTGGATGTTTTTCGTGTTGTCATACCGCCCGTTTTGGGTAAAGCTCAAGAAGATGCCATGACTGCAAAACTAATTGCTGCGCCACCTTCCAGTACCAACGATAACAATCTAAAATGTCAGTATTTTTTGAGAATAAATTAAAATATATGACTAATCAGGTTATTATTTATGTTATTTTCAATGTATATGTTATGTGTTAAACTATTCATGTAATGCAAAGTTTAAGATTGATATATACTCCAGTTTTTTTAATATATACATGTTATATTCTTGTAACTATTTGTAATATTAAAAATGTTTTTATTTTGCGAAAAATTTAAATGTTCAATTCTTAAATTTTCCGTTTTTCGTGTGCGAATATATGATTTTAAATACCGTGAACGTTATTATGTTGGTTGGCTCTGTCGGTAGCACCCTAGCAGGTATGCTGTCGCATCGGTAAGACCTCATCCTCATGTAGGTGTTCGAAAGGTGTCATGAAAAGGCACCCTGTTGCGGTTCTTAGGGCAGGACTGAATATTTTTCCACTGCGTAGCACTAAGGTTGGCGTACCGCGCAGGAGCTGCATAGTTTACCACAGAACAGCCTATCGCGTTGTAAGAGGTCAACAAGATTTCCTTATCAGTTTCCCAAGTGCTGCCGGCCAGAGACTTGTGAACCTTGTTCCTACTTCTAATCTTATCGCAGATAGTTGTGGTATATGCGGACGGCTATGAGGAGGCTATCGAATGTGACCCCTAAGACCGTAGGGTAGTTGGTGGTCGGAATTACAACAACATCGACCTGCACATTCAAAGATAGCCTCATCTCTGCAG